AAGCCGGCCTGCTAAACCAGCCTATCCAGCCAACCGACCGATCGAGCGGACGATGGAAACGAGTCACCTGCGGCACACACTGTGTATTGTGGTGCACGATCGAATTCCCGCCTTCTCTCTGCCCATATACACGCTCGTAGCGTTAACGCTCTCTATACACATGCTTGCACAGGACTGAACCGCGTGTATGTATATACGTGTAAGTACTATGTGCACCGGCAGCCACGACACAGCACAGCACGCAAAGTTCGCGCGTGCAACGCGCCTGCGCGTTCTCGTGACGTGTAAGCCCTGGAAAGAGGAACGAGGAGGGAAGAATACGATGTACACGAGAAAAGGTAAGCAATGAAAAGAGCGAGCAAGGTAGAGTAATATATAGATGAAGAGGGAAGAAAACGAGGAAGGAAGAGAAACGAGCAATATGGCAGCGTAGGAGTGGGACGGAGGGTAACCGAGGTAAGTTGATGGGAAGGAAGGAAGGAAGGAAGTAGGTATGTCGGATGCCCTGTGCAAATGTGTGTACGCGCGCGGCCTCGCGCGGCGCGGCACGGCGCAACGAACGGCGAGAGAAAGGGAGAAGGGTGAAAACGAGGAAGCAATCGGCGGCTCTGGTGTACATACACGTATAATACATACATAGCGCATACATATATTTATATATGTACATATTTATATATATGTAGAGAGAGAGAGAGAGAGAGAGAGAGAGGAAGAGAGAGAAAGAGAGAGAGAGAGGAAGAGAGAGAAAGAGAGAGAGAGAGGGAGAGAGAGGATCGTGCGTAATGCACAGGCGCGTCGTTAACGATACAATGTACGGTGTAGTAGTTAGTGCACGTACCTCGTCTTCACCGGTGGCTACCGTGTTGACGGAGTCCATACTCTGTGAGAGCGGTGCGTCCATGATGCAAGCGAGTTTGCTGGATGGTCCGGGGTTTCCGGGGGCTGCGGTTCGAGCGGGTGGCGGCGATGAGTCCACCGTATCCCGTCTCGGGCGTTTTAAAGCGGGCGGCGTTATGGTTGTACCGGCGAAGACGACAGGCGCCTCCAGGACGTATCACTGGAAATAACCCTTTTCTCGCGAGAAACCCAGGCGTATCGCCTCCTTCCTCCTTCTCCACCTTTCCCTCCTTTCCTTTCCGTTGGCGAGCGCGCGCGCGCACGTATATCCACGTACGTACGATCTATGTCTCTTGTACTTTCTTCCGTTCTGTCCTTCTACCCTCTCTCTCTCTCTTTCTTTTCGCCTTCGTTTCGCTTCTTCCGCTTCCTGTTACGTTTCTTCTTGATCGCTTGCACCTCCGCCACCACCGCCACCACCTCCACCACCTCCAGCCCTACGACAGCGCGGTGCTGCTGCTGCTGCTGCTGCTACCGTTACTCTCGTTGCACCTGTCACGAGCTGTGCAAGGGCGTCAGGAAAGACCGATGCAGTGGGAAAGTAAGAGAGAGAGAGGGCTACAGCGAGAACCAGACAGTCTGAGCTGTAGGTAGAATGTGTATGTAGCCTGCAGGTGTTCCCACGCGTCTATTTTAGAGCAATCGATACACCGTGCCCGTGGAGGAGGGCCGAACCCAGAGAACGTGCTCTATAGTGGTGGTTCGTCGACGACACTTGTTCATTTACCGGCCGCAGGTAGTAACCCATGCAGCAGCGACGTGCTATCCTGATTCCTCTCCTGCTATCTCTTCTTCGCGTATTTTATAACACGTATATAATCGTAGACGATATTGATTAATAATCGCGTATCAATCGATCACGCGACCACGGAGATGAACCAGCACGACGATGTTGAACAGCGACGATCCGGATCCGGATGTACTCGCACGACGACGTGTGCAGACGAGACAGGCAGGTAACGGCGATTCGCGGGAGACGTAGAGCGCGTTTATCGCGAGCGCGGCGCGTGCGTTCGTCGTGTTTTACGTGTGCTTGTATTTTATATGTATTTCTTCGCGTGTTTTTGTGTAGTTGATCGAGAAAAGATATGTATATGTATTAACGTTGACGATTGACCCTTTTGTATGTATACAATTGCGTGTCGATTGAACCAATTAGAGTAGAGACCGAGCGGCAAAGACGAGTGACTCGGCGAGGGACGAACGAAAAAACGTAGACCGCAATTTATAAATGAACAACACACCGGTCAGGCAAGTAAGAATAATAATAATATATTGTTACGTAAGCACTGCGACACGACTGGTACGCAGGTTGCCGATAGACTGACGGACTGCGAACGAGC